ACGTAAAACGGGATAAGCGGTTTCCTTCTGACCATTCATCAGCTCTGGACCAGTATTACCAAATTAGCCTTCAGCAAGCTTATGCCATTTTTACGTTACAACAAAGAGCACGGGGTAGCCCATTTCCCAGCCTCCATACAAACACTGAACTGTGTTACCTCATATAAACACTGACTCCACAGGTCCAGTATTAGGTCCTACATTTCATGATGATTCATGACATAATTTCATGTTTATTGACCATTTCTATTTTGTGAATTGCTTTTTACGGTATTTGTCTATTCTACAGGGATGTTCTCTTCTTCTGTTTTAGGATGCATCATGCGTGGGGAGGAGAATTTGCTAAAGTAGTTGTTTGTCAGGGCACCTGGGTGTCTCAGTCGGTTCAGCGTCCAACCTCGGCTCAGGTCATGCTCTCACGGTTCCTGTACTGCCAATGCAGAGCCTGCTTTGGATCCTCTGTCTCCCTGTCTCTCTGCCCCTCCCTGCTGGTTCTCGTTCCGTCTCTCTCAAAAGTAAAGAAACATTTAAAAACAATTTTCTAAGTGGTCATGTGTCAAAATACTTTTTCTAGTTTTTCACTTGTCGCTAATTTTACTTGTGGTGTTTGGGATACGTGGAAGCCTCGAATATTCAAGTAATCAAGTGAAATCTTTCTGCCTTTGAAATAAAAAAGATTTACTGGTATGTTTGCCTAATACCTAATGATTTTTGTTTTTTTATGTACATATTTAATCAACCTCAAATTCATTTTTATACAGTATGATGTTCCTTTTTATTTTCAAATTGTTACCCATTTCTCTCCATTATCATTTATCAATCTGTCTCTTCCCACACTGATAGGAAACTCTTCTTTTCCCATGCCCTTCATTATATATATTTTTAATAATCATAGAATTCCTATTCTGGTGACCTTTTGGTTTCCTTGTTGTACCTGTTTTACTTCTGTCACTTTATTGTGGAGGCAGAATTCAAAGACAGCCCTCGAGATTCCCCGCCTTTCTGACCTATACCTTCTCCCAAGTTTCAATTAAACACTCATTTATGGACCCCTTGGAGAAGATGAAGGCTCAAAATCAGTTAACCTTAAGATAGGTAGATTATTCAGGTGGGCCTGACCTAGTCACCTGAGCCCTTTAAAAGCAGAGAGTTTTCTCTGACTGGACTGGCTGACTGCACGGGAGGAGTTAGACAGATGTGTTCTGGTCGGCCTGGAAGGAAACAGGTGTGCATCCTGCAAGCTATCCTGGGGCCACATGGCGAGGAATAGCAGGCAGCCTCTGGAAGCTGACAGTGGTCCCAGCTCCCAGCTAGATGGACCGCGGGGACCCCAACCCTACAACCTAAGGAAATGAATTCTGCCAACAACCGATGAGCTTGGAGAAGGTCCCTGAACCCAGATGAGCCCTCAGCCTGGATGGTATCTTGATTTCTGCTCATGAGACCCTGAGTAGAAAACCAACCCACTTCTTGCCAGACATCTGATGCACAGAACTGAGAGCTAATCAGTGTCATTTAAAGCCACTAAGTTTGTGGTAATTTGTCACATGGTAATAAAGTAACTAATATATTTATTTTTTTTAAGTTTATTTTATTTATTTTAAGAGAGAGAGAGAGAATGGGGGAGGGGCAGAGAGAGAGAGGGAGACAGAATCCCAAGCAGGTTCCGTGCTGTCAGTGCAGAGCCTGATGCGGGGCTTGAACTCACAAACTGTGAGATCGTGACCTGAGCTGGAACAAGAGTCGGACCCTAACTGATGAGCCACCCAGGCATCTCAATAACTAATATATTTATAATGCCCTTTCACAATCAGTACATCAAAGCCCATCAAATTCTTTTTCAAACTTAGCTGTTCTCATTCATCATCTTCCCAGAAGCACTTCAGATTTTCTTTAAAACAAAACAAAACATGGAGCGCCTGGGTGGCGCAGTCGGTTGAGCGTCCGACTTCAGCCAGGTCACGATCTCGCGGTCCGTGAGTTCGAGCCCCGCGTCAGGCTCTGGGCTGATGGCTCAGAGCCTGGAGCCTGTTTCCGATTCTGTGTCTCCCTCTCTCTCTGCCCCTCCCCCGTTCATGCTCTGTCTCTCTCTGTCCCAAAAATAAATAAATAAAAACGTTGGAAAAAAAAAATTTTTTTTAATAAAAAATAAAAACAAAACAAAACAAATCCCATTGACCTCTCCTGGTGTCCTTCTTTCAAATGTATGGATTACTTGGGAGACAGATGTGAATGGCCCAGGGGCTCACCGCCTCCCTCCTTAGGCGGCCTGCCAAGGAGCAGGCGGCTCAGCAGAAGGAGCGGGTAGCTGGCACATGCACTGAGCTTCAGAGTCTCCCCTTTCCCAAAGGTCCCTTTCTCAACCATGAAGCTTGCACTGTTACGAGACTGCCCTCCCAGAGCACTGCTCACTGGGATCCACAGGCTCTCCTCCAGCCCGCACACTCTTCCCAGTAAATTCGCCTCCACCAGGAGGCAGCACGCATCAGTGACCCCCTGACCTACGAGCTCCACACCTACTGTTCCCGGCTGCTCTTGGTTCCCACACCCACCACCCCGTCCATACCCATTGCATTCAGTCTTCCAGTCAAAGACCAAGACTGTGTTCCTGTTTAGAGGCATTTATGTTCCTCAGGGATGATTTGTAATTATTTTTAAACAGATTATAATTTGTTTTTAGACTGCTTCTAAGTACTGTAGTTCTCAAAGTCATTATGACTGCCAAGCTTTTTCTATTTATAACTAATATATGCTGGGATAAAGAGAAGTGTGCAGGGTCTCTATATTTTTCTTTTGATTTTTAACCGGACACTGTTTCAGTGTTTACTAATAAGTAAGGTGTAAGTTGACAAAAAATAATGTATTTTTATTTTTATTCCTTTTTTTTAAGTATTTGTATTTTTACATGGGACCATTTATCTGGGCCAGTTGTCAGACCCAGGAAGAATGAATCTATAATGATGCCATCCAGACCCTGGGCACATGACTGCAACCTTTCCTGCCCACTTGCTCACACTTGTGCATGTGCTCTGGGGATAGTAGATAGCAAAAAAAGGAACGTTTATCTTTTTTTTTTTTAAGTTTATTTATTTTGAGAGAGAGAGAAAACGAGCAGGGGAAGGGAGGAGAGAGGGAGACACAGAATCCAAAACAGGTTTTGCAAGCACGGAGCCTGATGTGGGGCTCAAACCCACAAACTGTGAGATCACGACCTGAGCGGAAACCAAGAGTCAGATGCTCAACCTACTGAGCCACCAGGTGCCCCAAGAACAGTTGTCTTCATCGCTTAACTGCTCTCACAGGTCAGGTTGCTTCATTTCTGGGAACCTTAAACTCAGGATTATTAACCAAAGTATACCTTCTCCTTTGCAATGGCGTATGAGGCCTCTTGATAGAACGTCTCACAAGGCACCCTGGTGGCCACTGTCCCTCAGCTATTCAAAGTCAATTGTATCTCACTACTCTCCAATCCAAACAGATTAAAACTTCTTGCTGCTCTCTGGATCTCTTTCCCTCAACATCTCAACATTTATTTCCGTTCTGCTTTTACCAGCAATGTTCCCACTATCTCCATAGCCTTCACGGTGGGAAAAAAAATGTGCAGCCCTTAGACTTTGCTGTGCAGTAATGGAGACTGCCCCTCCATTGGCAAGAACTCCAAGGTCCAGAGTCCACACTAAAGACATGGCTTGCTAAGTAGCAAAATTAGTTCCTGAATTTGTAGATAAATTTGTTTCTGATGCTCATATCACTGCAGGTATAAAAAAACACAGTTCTGGGCTCCTCCACGTAGTAGACACCTGACTCCACTGCCAGGACACAGACTTAGCGGGGCCTCCATGAAATGTGTGAGAAGCCATGGGGACCAATGTCCACCCATCCGTGACTTTGTCCCGTGTGTATCTGGGCATGATTTATTCACAGCTTTGAGAGGAGATCAAAGTGAAAGCGATCTTGAGTGGTGATCACGTCATTTTTGCCGGTCCCTGAACTCAGCTCGGATTCTCTGTTCTGAACAAGCTTAGCCCCATTCTGGGCTGATATCTCACCTAGATAGCTAGATCCTCACATGTATTTTTACTCCAGTCCCCTTCCCAGCTCACCATGCCACCCTAACTCTTGACAAAGTACTTTTCTGTCCAATACTAATTCTTAATTGTTTCCCTCGTCTTTTTTGTCAATAACTGAACTTGGCCCAGATGTTCGCTGCTGTGTTTTCCCACGGAATACTTAGGCCTCCAACTCTTTCCAGCTTAGTGGAAAAAGCAGAGGGGACAAGCTTGTTCCAAGAGCTACCTCTAGACCACTGAGTCATGGCTCTTTTCTCTGCTGTCCTTCGCTTAATCAAGGTCCTACCATTCCTACTGGCTTAAGAAAGTTAAGATATAAATGTGTTTTAGAATGCAACTGATCAGGATATGAATGTACAGTAAATTTATTACAAACAAGAATAAAATTATTAACAATGATAAATTGTGGGGGGAAAAGGACTTTATTTGTGCAGGAAACTCTTATTACCTGTAAAATATTGTGGAACTACCCGGAAATAGTAAAGTTTTTAAACTATGTGTATAGTAATGTGCACAAAGTTATTCCTTGTCATTGTCTTTAATAGAAGTTATGTATAGATTACATAGTTAGCCATTTCCAATGAATATGGAAACAAGCATAATGCTCTCTTCAGTTTTCCTAACCATCTACTATAGTACGTATGCTTTAAAGAAAAGGACAATTCTTGGGTCCCTGGGTGGCTCAGTCTGTTGATCATCCGACTTCAGCTCAGGTCATGATCTCCTGGTTCATGAGTCAAGCCCCGCATTGGGCTCTGTGCTGACCGCTCAGAGCTGGGAGCCTGGAGCCTGCTTTGGATTCTGTCTCTTCCTCTCTCTGCCCCTCCCCAACTTGCACTCTGTCTCTCTCTCAAAAATAAACATAAAAAAAGAAGAAGAAGAAGAAAAGGACAGTTCTTGGAGAAGACAACAAATTCCAGGAAGACAAGGTGCAGTTCACTTAAACTTTATTACATATTGTTAATATAGTTAGTAGTAAGAGCATACACTAAGTCAGGTTTTCTTCTATAAAACTGTATAAAATTAAAGATTTCAAACTGAACTCTTAACACCTAGATGCCATCTATAGTTAAATTTTGGCTAAAATGTTTGAAACACTCAGTAAAAAGAGAAACTATAGAAAATCTTTTATATGTTACCAAAAAAAACCTGTGGACCACACATTACAATTTAGAAGGAGATTACTTAAAATATGGATTGTACGCTCTTCTAATTTTCATTGAAACAGATTTAATCCTGACAGGGGAATTGTTTCTGGTCCATGTGCCCCACTGAATCCCGGTCGAGACCAATTTTCCAGGGAAGCGATGAATGCCGTTTAGATTTGCCAGACCACACTGGCTGAACCACCAGCCAGTGTTGTTACTGAGGCGACTACAGCTTTTCACAGACTGACCACTGACCAGGCATGCAGGGTGACATCCGTCATTATCGACATCCGATGTGCTGAAAGGCATTGCATTTTGGTTATCTTCTTTTCTGAAGCCCCGGAATCCATCACCTGGGCAAAACAGGTTTTTTAAATGACCAAATTTAAAGGTACTTTTTGTCATTTTAACTGGCCTTTACCAGACTATCTTAACAAAGCATGGCATCTAGAACTAAGGTTTACATTATTTTCTACTAGCTATCATATTAAAGTCTCCCCTCCAGTTAGGCTGAGCACTGGGTGTTGTATGGAAGTGATGAATCACTAAATTCTACTCCTAAAGCCATTACCAGCTTGGATTTAAATAAAATTTTTAAAAAGTAAAAAATATGAAAACAAACAAAATCTCTCCCCCAGATTGCAATATACCAAAATCTGGTAATGAATTCCTCAACATGATAGGCATCTTTAAGTGGCTATTTGGTACCAAATCACAATCCACAATGGAAGTTTGGCTCTGTAGACGGAATCAGATAATTTAGGCCAAAAATGGTGCTGTACAAACCTGTCATACTTTGGGGAAGGGTAATGTGGTAATTGGTAATTTAGGGAAAAGAATAATTTCTACGTAATAATAATACATAGTAAGTTTTCATGCCACCTCCATCCTCCATCACTTTAAATAAAGAGGCATGGATGAAAGGGAATCTGCTACATTAAGAGGCTTACATTTGTAGCTGCACAAGTTGTTTGGTTTTATTTAGGGGTCCCCAGGTTTATATCACATACGCAGTTACCTCAAGCATATAATCAGCTACCTTCCTGAGGTGAGCCCAGAATGGCTCTCCACACGACACATGGAGAGTAGCTCAAGTACTACCATTCCTAAAAGGTCCACACTGGGTTCTGCGTGTATGGTTTCCCTGATACTCGCCAAAACCTGAAAGAGTAAGTATCTTGGTCAAGGCAGCCCATGTAAGTAAGTAGCAGGGGCAGAAGCCATGTTTTGTTTGAATCAAACTATATAAACAGAAGGTTCTAATTAGTCCCATGACACCTAGATTTCATTTGCAGTAAACTGTGCTCATCTTTTGGAAACACTAACTTAAAGTAGAGCTGTGCTAAATCTTTGAAGAATCCAAAGCCCACATTTGTTTCATCATGTTCCAAATGTTTGGCATCTCTTGAGATAGGTCTTTGAGGAGCCTGGAGAACTTGATACGTGGTAGTGGCCCATCCTGTTCGCCAGCTGTGCTGAATATTAAAGCCTCTTACTCCACACCTCACAGGAAACAAAATGCCCACATTGCAGGTATTTGCAGGAAGAGTGTGATTTTCAACACCCACACAGTGCAATGCCTCTCAGATTTCAGATGAGACAGCATTGAAGGAGCATTGCCTAAGTTGTACGGTCGCTCCACAGACACTTTCCCTGAACAAAGTCCACCCATCAGAAGGGAAATGTGATAGGAGCTCCCCACTGGATTATATTTATAAACAGTTTTTAAAATATAATGCATAGAGCTGTTTTTAAGAAATAGCCCATTAAAACTCAGTATCATGTTTTCTGTGAAAGTGTAGTTACAGAACATGCCCTTTGTTTTCTCTGGGAACCCAAATAAATCTTTGCCAGTTTTAGAATCAGGAATATTTGTCCTTCTCCTGGGAGAACTGTTTGCTCAAATGTTAGAATTTCATATTTATGGTTTTTCTTTGAGCTAAAAATCAAATTTGTAGCTCATCTCTACCATGCACCTGATCACACTTAACCCCTGGTTTCATCTGTGTTTCTATCTCCATGTCCCATTGGCATCTTTTTCTTTATTTTGATTGTATTGTGTGATCAACTGTTGAAAGTTAGTTTACAACCTCATTGGGAAAATTCAGAGTAGGGCATAGCAAAATTTGAGGATTCTGTAATGAAACACTTGTGTAATGACACACTGAGTCTTCTAACTAGATCTCAGTCCAATAGAGAAACCCCCCACACACTTTTACTAACACAGTAGCTTCCATATTTAGATAGTTCTTTACACTTTTAGAGAGGCAGCATTAAAAATTGCATATTGTAACTCTTGAAAGTTTTCCTTATCTATCAAGATTTGAATTTCAGACTTTTTACCTAACATCCCAAGGTGGACAACTGTACCAGACAACTCTTCACTCTCAGAAATTTTCCTCCCACTGTGCCTTGACTCAGCTGCTTTCTTTGCCAACATTCATTTGCCAAAAGCCTATCCCTTCCTGCAAGCACACATTAGTGGTTCTCAACTATAAGGTTGCCAATACGTCCATCTTTGAATACAAATACCTGGGCCCAAACTTACTGAATTGGATTCTGCAGTAGTTTGTACTTTTAAAAACCTTCCCACATTGGATCTAACATTAACTCCTTGTCGGAAACCACCCTTCCATAAAGATTTTCCAGATGCAATCAGTGGAGATCATTCTCTCCCTCTCCTAAATGTCCAAAGCTCTATCAGTATTCAGTATTCCACATTTCTGGGTTTATCTCCCTTCTATATTATAATCAGTTAAAGAAGTGGGAACATATCTCACTCACTTTTGGATTTCTAACACTAAATATACATAATTAACAAGTACCATGATGAGCAACAACAGGAGAGTTGAATTTAGTATTAACTCAAATTTAAAATTTCAGCATCAAATTATAAATTTAACATGAAGTATTTTGAAGTTCTTAAAAATTAAATTTATTTGGAAATGAGTAACGCACCAAGGTATAGTGGGGGGAAAAGCCCACCAAACTAGTGGCTCTATCAACCTGGCTTCTTGCCCTGGCTCAGGTGTGATGAGCTGGGGCAAGTCCCTAATGTTTCAGGTTCCTTACCTGTACACTGAAGGAGATCGGCTCTAACATTCTGTGATTCCTAAATGCCAGCCTCTCAGAACATGAAAACGTCAATAATTCCTTCCCAGCCTGCCCCACTGACTCTCCTTCTAAAGAATCAGCTGCCATGATACATGGAAAATAGTTTTAAAGAATATAAGCTCTTCAAAGACACAAGGTGGGTCGATGATCGTAGCAGGGTTTCAAAACTCAGTTTTCTCATCCCGAATCTACTCTGTTATCAGTTATCTGGCATAGACCAAGCGAAATAACATTACTTTTATCTTCACCTAATATCAAGTCAGCTATATTTATCCTGCATCACTGGGGGGGAGAAAAAACTTACCAGCATTTCCTGAATACCGTCCTAAGTGCATCTTAAAAAAACTTGTTTCATCTTCTAGCCAAAAGTTGTCATATGATGCGTAAGCAAATGTGTCGTCTTCAGATTCCAATGCAACATGCAGCATAAAACTGGTGTTTTTCTGATTTACTATATAAAAAATCTTTTTTAGTCCTAGCCAAAATTCACCTGTTTAAAAAGAAATGTTTTTTTAATATATTTTAATACAACTTATAATAACTCCTTATTATTGAGGGTTTGGTGTTAGTTTTTAATACTGAAATGGCTCACATAAATTATTTGAGAGACTAGATAGCCCTAGCTCAAATTCAAATTATCAGTGTTTGTCTAATTTACAAAAAAGAAAAAAAATACACACACAAATACATTATATAAATAAATATAAATATATATATATATGTATATATATAATCTTCCTATTTCACTAGACTGGGAATAACTAGACTGTTTCATTTTTATCTCACCAAATTAAATTCAAAAAGTCATTTAACAATTGACCAAAAATTCAAGATCTACCTTAAGGCATGTCAACAAAAAGCTGTTGAAATACTGTGGCAGGTAACAAAATGATGTGTACTCAAAAATGCTAAGAGTTTTAACCTCCAAAGTGGCAGGTTCTAAAGAAACATTTCCTGAAAATGCTCACTTGCAATTATTTTTTCTGTCTTTTAGAATGATGCTCTGTGAATATTTCTTCATTACAATGCACTTTGTCTGTTACCCAGGTATAAAAATGTAATGTAATGTAATGAATGAAAATGAAATGGTGTTTGTAGATCCAGGATGAATTAGTAAATGTAGTGTTTGGACGGCATTCTTCTTGCTGTTCTAGCTAATGGTTTTCGACCCCACTCCCACCCCCCATCCCACCCTCACCCAGCCTGGCATAGCCTCTATTCTGGAATATATTCCTGTACCTGAATCATTAAATTCCTGAAGGAAGGAAGGGTCTAGTCCAAAAAAACTTGAGAGAGTTGGGGGACAGTGTGACAGCATTCACATTGTTAAAATTCTAGCTAAGATACCATGTCCCTCTCCAGGGCTCACGAGAGGCACTAACTGCACCCCACTTGGAACTGAAAAATACCGTAAGGAAGCGCAGGAAGAAAGGAGGTATATAGAAAGAAAGGTGGGTCTGTTTAGTGTCCCCAGCCCAAGACACTCCAATGTAAGTGTCCTTGCCATCCTGCCCCTCTACCCAGCCCCTAATTTGGCTTAACAGTATATTTTCCTTAATCCCAAATTTTTTTTGGAAATATACAAAGTACAAGGCAGTCTGTTCCCATGAACTGTACCTGCCTGAAGACATTTTTCTCAAAATTCAGTTAATTTCCCCATAGAAATAAGCATAAAGTGAGGAAGATGACAATTTGGAGCCTGTAGATCTAGGACTACTTGAATCAGGAGGTAGCACTTACCAGAAAATTAGGGGTCATGCTAAGAAAACACAATATATTAGCTGCACTCCATAACATGGCAGCTATTCAGCTTTATTCATAATACATAACACATAATTACATTTCACATCCTTTCTACAATCACTAGCCTGCAGTGGGGTTTTTGGCAACACAATACCACCACTTACTGAATCTTTAGATGACCTTATTATGGGATGTTAAGGCTTTTAAATTAAAACAGCAACTTAAAATAACAGCATAAAAGTGATCAAAATCATCTGCAAAAATTCCAACATAGGTAAAATTCTGCAGTGTTCACAAATACTAGAATTTCTGTTTGCTGGCAAAAGAAATACTGTCATGCAGCAATAATGTAAACAGATTTTACAATTCTCTTGAGGTTTACAGTTTTCAAATTTTGAGGCATTGATTCTTACTGATATTTTTATACACTCCTCCCAAGTCATATAATTTGAATCCGTACACCATGTACCTCGATTCTCCATTGGTGTAGACCCAGCACACACCTCAAGAATTTCAAGGTTCATGACAACCCTGCCTGCCATTCAGTGTTCCTTTCTACAAAAGGTTGTTGAGTATCTACCAGAATTCTGCTGGGTGCACAGTAAATACCTAATAGATACCCATTTTAGAATTTTCACTCAACCCCATTTCAGCAGGTATCCAAAGGTAATGATTTCCATCACCCAACCGAAAACCCACATGTTCTAAAATAATACGACATGAAGAGAAAGTCCTATTTTGATATTCACAAGGATTTGCTATTTTTACTAATGATTTTGACCAACAGATAAACTATCAGTGTCATGCCAAAAAAAAAAAGAAAAAGAAAAAGGAGAAATAAAATATGACCTAAAAGGTCACCAAATCCGTCCAGATAATCACACCACAGCCTCTGGAAATCAGTGATCCCGTCAACCCTTTTCTGTATCACAGTCCATCCACCTCCTCTATAATCCATGTCACACATCACCTAAAACGGGCCCAGAAAAGACAAAAATCACATACTATCATTTTCACTCATTGATGGAAAATTTATGCTTCACCCTCAAGCCTAGAGAAAGAGAAGACCGTTGCACTAAAAGTTTCAATGCAATTGTATGCTATTAATATATTCAGACATTTTTAAATCCATAGAAAGGACACTTTATTAAAAGGCAAACTTGAGGCCAACCTAATTACAGTCTCCTGTGTCAGTCATTCCATTACAGATGCAGTGTTGGTAGCATTTGAGGTCACCCTCTTATTCCTCACGTCCACAGATAGTTTTCAGTTGAGTGGTGACCCTGCCAACCTGTAGCAGAATGAGGAATCTGCTAACTCCTTCATCTTAAAACAGTGATGTTTTTTAAGTTTTAACCACATATGCGTGTGGGCCTGTCTTTGACCCCTCTTTTCCCCAGAGGCATGAACGGCCTATGTCCAGATGGGATCTTCAGACAGGAAGGTGTGATCTGTGCCTCACCACAGCCTGTGATCCTGGGTGCATCTGTCAGTGCTCTGTAAAATCCCCCTAAGAGGACAATGGTAAGGACGCAGAAAATCAGATGCAGTTGTCCCCATTAGAAACTTCCTGCTCACAGAGAAAGGCAGTGTGGAGGAAGTTAGGGAATCAACACCTTCCCATGATTACAAAAGGTAATAACGCTTCCCACTCTTCACAAAATTAAAAGTCTTCCTTCCCTCTCCATGTGGGTTCAGGCTCAGTTTTGAATCTGTAGGTGAAGCAAGTTAGGTAATTTTTTTTTTTTAACACTTATTTATTTTTGAAGGAAAGACAGAGTGTGAGTGGGGGAGGGGCAGAGAGAGAGGGAGACACTCTGAATCTGAAGCAGGCTCCAGACGTGGGGCTCAAACCCATGAACCGTGAGATCATGACCTGAGCCGCAGTCAGATGCTTAACCGACTGAGCCACCCAGGTGCCCCAGTTAATTTTTTAAGTTTTCAGTTTATTTTATTATCTGAGAAGGGTGGAGAGACAGAGAGAGAAAGAGAATCCCAAGTAGGCTCTGCACTGTCGGCACAAAGTCTGACTCAGGGCTGGATCCCACGAACTGTGAGGTGCTGACCTGAGCCAGAATCAAGAGTCGGACACCCAACCGACTAAGCCACCCAGGCGCCCTGCAAGTTAGATAATTTTAAAATTATTTCCCTCCTAAATCCCAATTTTTTAACATCTGGTCAATGGATGTCAAAAAGCAAGGTTAGTAAAAAAAAAAAAAAAAAAAAAAAAATTAGTGAATAATGTTGGTAATTTCAAGATGAGGAACTGGTGGTTTATTCAGAAAAAAAACTACTGTGTAATGAAGATTATCAATAAGGTGTGAGATTGGCACCATAAACTTTCTTATGCACAAAAAAGCAAGCAGAAAAAAATATGTGTAAATAACTTATACGTTACCATATATATTACTATGTTAGTATATGATATTATATATATCCTGCCAATAATAGATAATTTCGGATAGAAGTTTCCTCCAGAAATCCTAGACATAAGGGTAATGTATTTTGTTCAATTTAAAAATGGATTAGCTTCTCGATCTGTCTCATAGTGTAGTGAAAGCGGTTTCTTATTTATTAATTTCTTATATAACCACATTCAATCATTTATCACCCAAAGAAAGTATAACCACGTACAGGAAGGGAAATCTAGGTATGTTTGGCAAGCTCCAAGGCACAGCACCGCACTGCTTTCTAATATCCACAAGCTAATTAAAGCGAGTGTTTCTACTGCATATTTAGATTGTGTATAAGATCCTGCACGAAATGTACCTACTGCAGAGTGTAAACATGACACCTCACGTGGAAAAGCGAAAGACTCTCAGGTCCTTTTACTGGCTTGTGGTTTGGGCAAAGAATTTCAGAAAACCAAAATTGGGAAACTGGAACTTCTACCCATTTATTTTAAAAATTTCAAGGAAAAATAAAATATGAGAAGAATTAAAATTTTAATATTAATTAAATAGATACATTGCTTATCCTATTCCACATAATAAGGGAAGACTTTACCTCAAATGGGTAACTAGATCCTTCCGGGTAGATTATATATAAACCACTTGGTGTTTTGGTGACAGAGCCAATGGTGTCTTTAATATCAGTACAATCTAAACCTAGAAAAGTAAAATTAGTTATTTAGGATATTTTCAAGTGTACACTTAAGACTTAATCATTTTGCTGTAGAGATCTGACAGTGCTATCTGAAATTATGAATATAATTTCCATTGTGATAGATTTTAACTTCTTAATAAAAAAAATGATCTCGATTTTAGAAATCAGGAGAAAATACATGTAAGGAATGAGACTAAAGAATTTATGTTGGAATAAACCTTCACTAATAACATCACTGTTAGTGATTAGCCCTCCATACTACTTAAAATTTTCATTTGGGACCCACATTGATTTAATATAATTTATAATCATGCATTCTCACCCAATAAGTAATTCCCTTTCAGGAATCTAGGCTTATCTTGGGGACATAATGTGTAAAGGAAGCCTATGTGAATGGGAAGGAGAAACCCAAATGAATAAGTTGATTACTACTGACACATCCTTGACTACTGGAGACTGCAGAGACTCTCGCTGGGGACCACTGTGACAAAGAGCCAAGGGAGAGGACAAGGAAATCCCTCCTCCCCAAGAGGAAATTACGCCTGCAGCCTGCACTGCCGCCTATAGTTAAAAGTGTAGCGCCCCAGAATTGCCTTCGCCAAAGCATCCCGCTTCCCAGGGGACTGGAAGCACATTCTGTGGGTAAGGGTGTCACATTTATTCTAAGACATTTTACTGTGTATTATCTTCTATAGTAATAAAATAAAATCAACCCTTATATTGTCAATCACCTGGTGAAACAAACACACGAAAGCCTGAGACTGCAGAGCCGAAAGCCTGCTTACCGCCCTAGCTCTTCTCCTCGGCAGCCAAGAACCCTTAGCGAACTCAGCTGCCCGCTCTTCTTCTATCCTTTATTTTATTTTTTTTTTAATTTTTTTTTCAACGTTTATTTATTTTTGGGACAGAGAGAGACAGAGCACGAACGGGGGAGGGGCAGAGAGAGAGGGAGACACAGAATCGGAAACAGGCTCCAGGCTCCGAGCCATCAGCCCAGAGCCCGACGCGGGGCTCGAACTCACGGACCGCGAGATCGTGACCTGGCTGAAGTCGGCCGCTCAACCGACTGCGCCACCCAGGCGCCCCTCTTCTATCCTTTTAATAGCACTGTCTGCTTTGTAGTGTTATTCTGGCAATTTACATACAAGGCACAGGGAGAGCACTTAGCACAGTGCCCGGCACACAGTACGTGTGCAGAAAATGTCACCTACAGAAAATTCGCTCTAAAAAATTGTTTGCTTCCCCCTTATTGCTGGAAGATATAGATCCGTTGCTTGTGTTCTGAATTGCTAGACATTCTCACACAACCTTATGCTCAGAGCTGTGCTACACGTTCACAACGAAGGACCGATCTGGGCTGGAATCTCCACTCTGCCATCACCATTCATGTAAGTATGAACGCATTATTTAGATTTTTCTGGGCTGCATATTCCTCCTCTGATGATCCTCATCGCCACAGCAGACCCTTCTATTGTCTTACATTCAGGCAGTATTCGAAGAGCTTTTCGTGTACTTAGCTGTGCAATCCCCACAACAACTGTGAGGTACGTACTGCAGTTTGCTGATGAGGAAACGATCGAGGAAACAGGCCTCAGTGATTTGAAGACAGGTGGTCTGACCTCAGAGTCCACGCTCTTAACTACATGAGCTAAAATAAAAATGTAAAATAAAATACCATGCGGAAGTGCCTTACTACCTGACACTTAGGAGACTCTCAGTAATTGTTTATTTCCTTCCCTTTGTAAGCAAAAAAATCATACAGTAGGCCCTCAATAATAGTTATTTCCTTGGAACTCTGGTGTGAATTCATAATTGTAAGAGTGATGGGCTATTTTTCTTAGAAACACAAGCCTGTAGGAATTACTACACTGCATTTGAATACAAAAGGTTCTAAATTCCAGTTTATTTCTGTCTTAAGTTCCTTTTTTATTTCAAACTTTATGTCCCAATTTGAAATATTTCAGACAATTCAAAAAAAACTGTTTGCAGGCAGAAAGAACTCTGAAAACTTTCTTTTCTTCTGACTGAAGACTAATTATGACTAACATGTAAAAGACAGCCCAGAAACTAGTTACATAAAAGTGTTCCATGTGCAGTGGACTCGGGTTATCTGTGAACAGCCACGGCTTTTGGGCACCTGGAAAAGTTTCCCGATTCAGGAAAGTACATTTGTCTGGGCGGACGGCGGCCTCAGGGAACGTATTACCCCTCCAGTCTGTTAGATAATAAGGAGCTGTATTTTATAAACAAAACCTCTCAATGCTCCAACCCGTCCAGGAAAATTTTACGCAATAAAAGTCAAGTAGTAAGAGGCAGAAATAGAAAAGTTCTCACCATGTGACTGCACTGGCCTGTGAGGAAGAGGGTCCAACTGTTTTCGGAGAACTTCTGTCGTCAGAAGGAGAACTCGATTCATGAGCTCGTTAACCTGAACACACGGGCGTACCTTTCAGCACGTTTATATTTGAACAAAACTCCTTCCTCTGAATTGTGTAGCTGGCGTCCCTCAGCCTCTTACAAAGCAGCTCCGCGGTGTGTAACAGTGTCCGCCGCCCCACCCTGACGCCCCCAGCGCCGCAGCAAGGCCGCCAAGGCACCTGTCCAGTGGGTGCCATGTACCCCACAAGTGGCTCACACCTGCCCAGGTGGGCTTGCAGGCCCCTCGTGGACGCGAAGGCACCTGGCGGGGGGGTGGGGGGAGTGGGGGGCGCCGTGTACCCCGCAGGTGGCTCGCACCTGCGTAGGTGGGCGGCTCCCCCGCCGGTCTCCCACCCTCGCTCACCTCCAGACCGGTCCCCAAGTGGGTCCTTCCCCTCCCCGATCACACACTACTGGCTGCCCCTGTACACCTGCCGCCTGCCCGCACCGCTGCAAACAGCAACCCCGAGCAGAAGAGACTCTGCTTTCTGAGCCGTCTCTACGGCTTCCGAAGCAGGTGTGCGTCTTCGGAGACTCAAACCTCCGGCTCTCGCACCTGGAAAGCTATCCCCTAGCGCGGACCTCGGAGTTCTCTTCTGCAAAACGCTGACAGCGTTCACAACAGGCTTTCAGCGCTTCTTCCTGTCCCCTTGACTGCGCACCCCTGGAGTGAAGGTCCATTTTTTTGTGTTTGTTTTTGTTTTTTAATGTTTGCCTGAGGCTTCCTGGGATGCCTCTAATTGAGCAGGCAGTAAACACATGTCTAGACACAAATGCATTAAAAAATTAAACAGTTGCACCTCTAATTGTATCGCTGTATCTGTGCAATAACAACACAAGAGGAAAAGGTCCGTACCTGACTGGATAAATAATCCAAGGAGGTTTGTTGCTCATCCATCATGTTTCTTAGCAGTTTTTTGGTACTTCGTGTGTAGGAAACAATAGAATTTTGCAAATTTCCTTAAATCATAATAAAAAGTGTTTGCTAAATATTGTTAGAGAAAATACGGTGAAAAATAATGAGCTTAAATGATTTGGGATAAACGTAAGACACAATATATCTCCATCTATCTAAATACTCCACTTAGTATAACTTTTGTTTAACTCAGGATCACCCAAGAAAATAATTGTATCCACACTGGTTAATGAAACTATGCTTTCTAATAGTTTAGATTACCCCCAAATAAGTGAATCTGATGTAACAGAGAGACAGCATTTTGAATATTAATTTTCACTTTGTGAAATGAGAGTTACAGGGGCACCTTTGAGGCTCAGGCAGTTAAACGACTGACTTCAGCTCAGGTCATGATCTTGTGGTTAGTGAGTTCAAGCCCAACGTAGGGCTCTGTGCTGACAGCTCAGAGCCTGGAACCCACTTCAGATTCTGTGTCTCCCTCTCTCTCTGCCCATCCCCAGCTCGTGGGCTCTCTCTCTCTGAGAAATAATAAATGAATAAACTTTATAAAAAAAATAAGATGAGAGATATGGAAGGAGGAGGTCTGGGAGTCCTCAATCCTTATCATATAAGAAAGGAAAAGGCAATAATCTATATCATGCAAGTTAATTTTCAAAATAAATACTTCTTTTGTTCTATTGACGCTATGTATTTTTATATAAACAAATGGCAAACAAATATAAATGATAAATCTTTTTTTAAGATTTTTTTAACGTTTATTCATTTTTGAGAGACAGAGAGAGACAGAGCATTGAGTGGGGGAGGGGCAGAGAGAGAAGGAGACAAAGAATCTGAAACAGGCTCCAGGCTCCAAGCTGGCAGCACGGAGCCCGATGTGGGGCTCAAACTCACTGACCACAAGATCATGACCTGAGCCGAAGTCGGACACTCAACCGACTGAGCCACCCAGGCTCCCCTATAAATGATAAATCTTAGAGTTTTGGTTGGTTGGTTTCTGATTGAACTATTTTCCTTTTTTAAGAAGGTTGTTTTTTTTTTTTTTATGTCAAAGGAATCTTACTCAGAGAATAGTTGCAAAAACAGTTTAAATAGCTTTCCTAAATCATGTGACACCAGGCTGCCATGATGTCCCTGGATATTTCAGTCTGTATTTCTTTTTTTTTTTTTTAATTTTTTTTTCAACGTTTTTTATTTATTTTTGGGACAGAGAGAGACAGAGCATGAACGGGGGAGGGGCAGAGAGAGAGGGAGACACAGAATCGGAAACAGGCTCCAGGCTCCGAGCCATCAGCCCAGAGCCTGACGTGGGGCTCGAACTCACAGACCGCGAGATAGTGACCTGGCTGAAGTCAGACGCTTAACCGACTGCGCCACCCAGGCGCCCCTCAGTCTGTATTTCTTACACCAAAGACATTCCTTACAACACAACTCTCAAAATCGGGAAGTAATCATTGACTACCATGTATTCCCCGGCCTCATACAAATTTCGCCCTTTACAGCAAAAGCATCTACACATTATTGCACACATTATTCTTTAAGAGGTGACTTTACCTCTACATTCCTAATTTTCACATTAAGAATCCTTGGTATCTTAAAATGCACCCCACCCAGGCTCATCTCTCGTTTCTACTTTCAGTCTCTTGCTTTCCATTAGAACCTTTCTGGATTTACGTGTCTGTCTTTATGGACCTAAGTGCAACTCACCGGTTTGAGAAATAGGAGATGCTTGTGTTGCACATAGAATTAAACACATTAAAGTGGGCTTTTTATGCTTTCTGGCCTAGGATTTACATCCTTTAAGACCTAGACCAGATCACCACTCCCTCCCTTTCTGATTCTCCTTCTTCATCCCACTCCCCATGTGCATATAACAGGCCATGAAAATTCCCACACCGTCACTCAACAGTTGCAAACAAAAATCAAGACCTTGAAAGTTTAGTTTTACATTTTGCTACATAAATTGGCTATGAATTTGTAATATGCCTGATGTAGTATTCATTCAGTATTAATGAATTTCTCCCTCAAAACTAAGGTGAAATTTCGTAATGGCTCAGATGGAAGTTTGAGAGTAGCCTCTGGTGAACTGATAAAACGTAACTCTCAGTGCCGTCTGGCTCGCCCCTCTCCTCTGCTGCCAGCTGAAAGGGCTACCTGGAAGGATTCATTCATTCATTTACCAAACACTTACTAAGCACCTACTATGTGCCAAACACAGAAAACCTCTGACCTAGAAGGATCAAGATACATATAAAATGACCCAAACAAAGCTAAGGCGTATTTCTTTCTATGTATTCCATACCTTAGAAGTAATAAATCATATACCCTTATGATTGTGATTATTTTTATTACTTACTACACATGAAATGTTTTTCTTCTCGTGTAATTTTAATTTTAACATCACACAACTCTTCACAGTCTTCCTTATAAACAGTATCATTACTTTTACTCTCATCTTTTGCATTAGATACATCTTCTACAGTGTTGACTCCTGGAGAATCCTTGACATTAAAAAAATAGAAATGAGAAAAGAATATATGAAGTATGTTATGTGACCTATACATAATAAATATAAGAAGAGTACATGGAAAAGGTGAAATCTCAGGACATACACAAGGATGGTCACTAGACACGAACATAATGAACTGGTTAGAAGTCTACAAATAAACCTTATGGGTAAATTTTAAGGATCAATAAAAAGTATACATTAATTCAATATTTTTGCTCTCCCCTTTTCTTCCAAATACCAAAAGGATATACTTAGGGTCTACTTTCTACAACCGTGACTCCATGGCCTTTATCCTTAACTTTGGCATGTTTCCACATCTGATACAGCGCTGAGCCAGCCTTCTGCCAAACATCTGGGAATCTGAAGTTCCTTGAACAGAGCTAAGAAGGTTCCCTGATTATTCTCCATAGATTACATTTCTATGCCAAATGGACTTTCTGCCAGCAATTATCAGGAATTAGGGGTAGAGATGGATGTGTGGGAGGGTTGTCACTTTTATGTAAGCTAAAGTATTTACAGATTTGAAAGGTAAAGTACTCATTGATTTGAAAGATATCAGAACAGAAAAAAAGCCTGGGATTTTCCTTTGCAAAATCAACAACAGATGTCATCTTGAAAAGCCAGCTACCAGCCGCAGTTCTAAAGGTATTTATTCTTGTTAGTAAATGCTGGTTTTTCTACATAAAACATTCTTTGGTGGAAGTTATACAGATTTAAATAACTGTTTTTAAAAGAAAATAGTAACAAGCTTTATCTTCCTTTGACCTGGATATTGAGAGAAAGGTGAAAAGCTAATCATAGTATGAAAGGTATTTGCCACCTAAAGATGCTTATATTTTGTTACATGGACCTACTTTTAACTTCTTATTCTTTCCCTTCTACTCCTGTAATAATAGGCATCCTAGATGTTTTCAAAAACCTGACAACAACTACATTTTTCCAGATCTAAAATAAGGTTTTTTAAATTTTGAGTATTTTAGAGAACTATATTATTATTATTTCCGTAGCTTTACCTAAAATTTATCTTTATGAAACCTTGGAACTTTGGAATTTGGGATTGATATCACGGTAATACATTGTAGAACATTTTAAAATCATAAACCAGTATTTAAATATGCAGAGATTCAAATCACCATCTATTCAGAGTATTGCATATACTTTATTAGCTGTCACTTTCACATTGTTTTAAATGAAATTTTCTAGTTTCCTGGAAAAGGAAGCACAAGACTGTGTTTGAAATATAAACGTTTATAAAATATTTATTTTTTTAAATAACAAAGTAAATTTTTTATTACCTACCAGGTATTTCATTATCAAAGTTAACCAGAAAGTTGCCAGCTGGTTTTTAAGTTAGGCCTGTAATTTCTTTAAAATTTTTTTCACGAGAAATATGTTAAGTGTCAATCCTCAGTTATGGTTTCCTAAGTTTAAAAATAATATTAAAGCAGAATCTCAGCATTTCTAAAAACTTTAAGTTTTCCATAATTATATTGGATGGTACAATTAATCTTTTCAAATTTTAAATATGTATCTTGAAAACTATATAATCATACTTCCTAGGTCAAATAACATTGCTGAAATTCTTACCGTAGAATGATGTACACAGTTACCTTGTATAACTTCTCCAGAAATAAAAATAAATGTATTTAAGAATAGAAGTGAAGCTTGAGGCAGATACATCATATTCTTCTTGGAGAAATGAAAAACTTCTTCAAATACCAGTCAGCTCTCTGTGGAAAGAACTACAGTGCATAGAGTCTTCAGTTAAAAACTTCTGGAAAGTGTACAACAAAAACAGAAGCCAAAACTTACTGGTTCCATGCCCTCGTTTGAAACAACACCCTTCATACGAAAAACAAAGTAGCCTCTAGAGATCCTGTCCTTTTTAAGTTATGCAAACCTTTTTTTATCACTACATGCCTGCTTTTAGAATACAGGCAATAACTAGATAAATAAATAAATGGATGAAAAGTGAATTTATAAAGTCATCTAATGATAAACTATTCCTCAATAACTGTAAACCAGTTTGCATAAAAACAGTAAGGAAGTAGAAATGAATGATGGAGTAGAAAGAATGTTATATTGAAACTGTTTTGGGGCATCTGGGTGGTTCAGTCCTTAAGTGTTGGACTTCATCTCAGGTCATGATCTCGCACTCTGTGAGTTCGAGCCCCACATCAGGCTCTGTGCTGACAGCTCAGAGCATGGAGCTTGCTTCAGATTCTGTGTCTCCCTCTCTCTCTCTCCCTTCCCCCACTTGTGCTCTGTCTCTCTCTCTCTCTCAAAAATCAATAAATGTTAAAAAAAAAAAAGAAAAAAAACCTTTTTACGAAACACCAAGCAGAAATGCAACCAATGTGGACATGCAGGGAAGCTAATTCAGATGTAAAATATGCTTCTACCTATTTTAAATTTAGCCACCAATGATGGTCACACGAATCCTATCATTACCAAATTTTAGAACTCTGATTTGTATGTTTTACATCTGTATTACTAAAACTTCAAAAATTATTAACATAAGGGAACTATTGTTATTGAAAATGATCACTCTCTCAAAGCTGATAGATCAATGTCTGTAATGACTCTTCAAACACTCCCTTACAACAGTTCCCTCTCTTCAGTATAGAAGAGACATGTTTCTATACTGAAGAGTATAGTATTCATTATGCTAAAATAAAATAAAATAAAATAATCCAAAACTTTCCTGAGTCTTGCTTCCTATTCAAGGTATTATTTTCTCCATTTCATTTGCCAGCCTCAGAAGTACCAGATGGGGACCACGCCATGGTTTTAATGGCACTAATATAGTGACTGGGACCACAGGCACTAAAATGTTAATTAATGAAATAATATCTTAAACCAGTTATGTATTCTCTGACTTTACTTCCTCACCACCACTGTTTAACCCAACCACTTATCTCCTACTCTCCTGAGGAGTTTGGGCAAGCCGGCTCTGGGACCAATCTGCCTGGGTTTGAACCTTGACTGCACCACTCCTTTGCTCTGGGACCTAATATCACTATAGCTTGATTACTTCCTTTGTAGAATGAGGACAACTGTGTGGATTCGATGATTTTTATACATAAGCACCTACCACAATGCATGACAAAAACAAACATCCAAATGTTAGGTATTACTATTATTACTATTATTTGACTTGATCTATATTGCAGTTCTAACATTGCTGACAATATTGATGACCTTTATCATCTATATTAGGAGTAGATGAGAAGTTACCTCTAATCCTAAATTTCTAGTTGAGATCTTGCAAAATTGTGACACCTATAGCAGAACTTCAGTAGTTTTACATCAGCCATCAGATGTTAAATTCTTCGTTCTTTCACACCTTTCCCAGAGACAAATCCAGGAAATTCTTACCAGAGCAAGAAAATACTTCAGCAGAAGATGCAAAAAATAGCTTCAGTCAAGATGAAAGTGGAAGCTCAAGGATTGTCCATCTCAGGCTGCTTTGTGTAATTCACAAGGTTTTTATGGTATTCAAATTAGATAAGCTATGTGAACATGCTTTGCAACCATAAAGGCATTATTGTTGGTTTCTTTTGTAGATAGAACATCATTAACAACTTATGAGACGTGTGAATGAAGTGGGGTGTCTACTAGACATGTCCTAATCAGCTCATGTCTGAAGCCCAAGTCTTATTACTCCCCCTTCAACTTGCTCCTCCCCATCTTAGTAACTGGCAATACCTTTCATCCACTTGGTTCAGGCCCAAATCACAGAGTCACATTTGACTTTTTTTTCACTCACAACCATTTCACTCACTTGCCACAACTATTCATCAAAACATCTTATTGGGTCAAGGTTGAAAATTCTGAGCACTTTTTGGGGCGCCTGGGTGGCTCAGTCCGTTGAGCGTCTGACTTTGGCTCAGGTCATGATCTCGTGGTCTGTGAGCCCAAGCCCCGCGTTGGGCTCTGTGCTGACAGCTCAGAGCCTTGAGCCTGCTTCCAATTCTGTGTCTGCCTCTCTCTCTGCCCCTCCCCTGCTCATGTTCTGTCTCTCTGTGTCAAAAAAATAAAAATAAATAAAAACGTTAAAATTCTGAACACTTTTTACCACTTCAATCACCACCATCTAATCTCTCCCCTGACCTACTGTAATGACATTCAAACTAACCTCATTTCTAGCCTTATCAACTAGAGTCTAAGTTTCCTTATAGCAACTAGAGTGATATATTTCTCTCCCTCTCTCTCTCTCTCTCTTTTAAATTTGAGAAAGAGAGAGCATGAGTGAGTGGAGAAAAGAGGCAGAGGGAGAGAGAGAGAATCCCAAGCAGGCTCCATGCTCATCTTGGAGCCAGACATGGGGCTTGATCCCACAACCCTGGGTTCATGACCTGAGCCAAAAGCAAGAGTCTGGAGCTCAACTGACTTAGCCACCTAGGTGCCCCTAGAGTTATCCTTTCTAAAGAGTGACTTACATCATATTTTTCTCATACTCAAAACTCTCCAATGGCTCCCTCTTCATTTGAAGTTGGATATTATACTGATTCCTTGAATACTGTCTAAATCCCTGGTAAGGCTCAAGTACATCCACAAGGCATTTCTACAATTTCATGTCCTCGCACACTTCCCCTGCCTCACCCTCTTCTAGACACAGTGTCTTCTCTCTGGTCTACAAATATGTCAAATATAGGTCTTCCCTCAGAGCTTTCTGTATCTACAGCACCCTCTGCCTCTGACATTCTTCATCCAGACATCTGAATGGTAACCTCTGTTCTTCATTCAGACCGCTGCCCTAATTTCCCTTCTTCTGAGGCTTTCCCTGAGCACCCTACCCAAAATACAGCTGGGTCAGTCTCTGTCCCCTACACTACTCCATCTCTGCTTATAGTGCTTTTCACTCCCTAATATATTCGGAGGGGGGAGGGGAAGAAAAATAAATACAAGCTTCATGAGCATAGGGACTTTGAAGTTTTGTTCACCGCTGTATTCCCAGCACCTAGAATGTGCTTGGCACATAGTAAGTGTTCAATGTATATTTCCTTAATAAAAGAATGAAGTCTATTATTATATAGAATATATCATGGTTTTAAAGTGCAAAAGAATTAAGCATTATATTCAATTCAGATGTCTTCTGACAAAATATAGAGATTTTAGTGTAATATTCATTTTTATTGCTTGAATCATACTTGACTTTCTGCCAAGAGATAAAGTTGATAACTGCCTCAAATTATCTTTCTATTATCCAAATATCTAATCGTAAAGGCTCTTTCTTTAGAATCTAGGACTATACAAGTCAAATAAACACGAAAACCTAATATTTTGAAGAAATAATTTAAAGGTTAAAAAAATCCTATGATTAAAAAAAAAAAAAAAACAAAAATAACTAGGGCGCCTGGGTAGCCCAGTCAGTTAAGTGTCATGATCTTCAGCTCAGGTCATGATCTCACGGTTCAGGAGCCCGTTGACAGGCTGTGTGCTAACAGCTCTGAGCCTGAAGCCTGATTCAGATTCTGTGTCTCCCCTCTCTGACTCTCCCCTGCTCGTACCTCTCTCTCTCTCTCTCTCTCACTCTCTCAAAAAAAAAAAAAAAAACAAAAAAAAACGCTGTTTAAATTTTCTTTTTTTCTTGGTCATCATTGTAAAGCAACATTTGAACAAAGAATGATTATATAAACAAGCATTTCCAGGCAATTGAGAAACCAAGCCTTGCTTCTTAATGCTAATAAACCATGCAACAAAGCACAAAAGTGCCAGACTAATAACAAAAGTTAGACTTTCGAGAAGTCTAAGCATGACTAAATACTCCACAGGAGTACTTAGTCCCACAACAGCAACCACAATCTTCTGTTGTTTGCGCTGTGTGTGCCCTGCCCGCTTTTCTTCCTCTCTTTCAAATAGGCCCTAGAGAGACAGACTTGTGATGATAGGTCAGCGCCCTGGCTAGGCTGGTCTAAAACTTGCCAAGATAGCTAATGATCCATGTATGCACAGTTAGCCTCTCTTTGTTAACATTATACATTCTATCCTCTAGGCATGGTCCTGAAGAGAGCTTATGTGTTCTGTGTTTTAAGTCAAAGCTGGAAATGTTGTGGCACTTTAAAATCTCCGTCACCAGATGACATTTTTGAGTCACTGCATCCAACTTGGCAAAAACGGTTTTAAATAGTTTCAACTGGAAAAGTTTATATTTGAACTCCAAAAATGAACAAACTGATTCACAAAGGCAGAGGCATTTTAATGGTGGATGAGTGATTTTTATTTGGTTTGTACATTCTGCTTCCAGTCTGGGAGTTTTTCCACCGGAGGGAAAAAAAAAAAAAGAACCCTGGCTGAAACAGAATTTATATGTACTTTTCTAATGAGCTCCAACAAAAAGTTGCAGCCTTTTTTCAAAACTTCACTAGCAAAGCCATTACATTAATGGCCCTAAACTCCATTCTGTTCTCCACGCCCCCTGCAGCAATGTCAGCGTGGTGACCACCGAAGGCACATCCTCCCGGGGGATCTGTGTCCAGGCCACACTGGGGTGGTCGGCTCCCAGCGTCTGGCAGCGAGACACGCAGCGTCCGGAGCCTCTGAAAGGCAGACCTTTCCAGCGGGGAGCTGGCAGACAAGAAAGAGACTGCGGAGGGACTGGCCGAGCATCCCGGCGCGGCGCGGGGATTCGGGGCAAGGAAATTTCCACGTCAGCAAACCTTGTCAGGGATGCTGACTCCCAGAGACTCCCAGCTGGAACCCCACCGGAGTCGGCGGTTCCAACACAACCCCGGCCAC